CTGGTCTATTGCCTGATTTTTACTACATGCAATTTGTAGTGATAAATTCTTGGAAATGTATCCCCAAATTTAATGAAATAGTAAGAAAGAAGATGACATAGTAACCAACAGGAACTAATTATGGTTCCATTTCAATGTTTTGTTCTTTGGTTACAATTTTATTGCTGACTACAATTCTGTTTCTAAAATTTGTGCCCAAATGACAAAAAATTACTTTAAATTCAATTCCAGAAATACATCAACTAATTTCAATTTTTTGGGTTTAAATTGAAGTGCAGTATGATTAGTATGTTTAGGAAACTGTAGAAAAAGCATAAAAGTATTGGGATGGAACTAGAAGTTACTAATTTTGATGCATGCATGCCAATTACTATCCCACCATCATGCTTATTATTTCACTTAATTTTACTGTCCGCCACATTTTCATGAATCTTTCACTAAAATCAATGTTATGTTAAAACCGTGGAAAATACATTTACAAACTTAAATTACAGTCTATGTAGAAATTATTAGAAAACACTAAGAAAAACACTGGTTTCAACCAAGCCAAGCTTTTGGGCCTAAAGGAAAGTAAATAATTGATAAACATTAAATCATACCAAAATATTGAACTTTTTGTTGAAGATACAAAACAAAATTGCATTTTGGAACAAAAATAAATGACTAGAAAATCTATCCAGTGAAAATATTAGTTAAATTGAGGGATTATTCAAACTCTTATATAAATACAAAAACTTGTGTGTAATAGTGTTCTTAATTGAAATTTGCCAAAGAAGGAAAAGAAATGAAGCTAATTAATATACTAGTTTTTTTAAATTATTTGTTAAGATAAGATCTACAAACAAACCACACTCTATTTATTGTGTGAACTAGTAAAGATCTTTTACTGCAATACAATGTGATATGTAGTTATATTTTTCATGATTCACAAAAGTTGTGTGTAATATCTTCTTTCATTTTCCATGTTACAGAAATCCAAAGAGAGAATTAAATGACATCAGATTTGAATTTGTTGTGGGTAAAGATTCAGCTGAGGGAATAGCTGCTGAATTGGTTGGGGCTGGCCTTGTTGATGGCCGAGACATGGTAGTAATAGCGGCAAATTTACAAAAGCTCATTGATAGTCGAGGAGACATTCGCACAGTGACTTTTCCTCTGGTAAGTTTCTTCTGTGTTTTCATTGTTTTGTACACTTCAAAACATCATCATTACACTAACACCACATTACTGATATGACCAAGCATGGCCTTTGGATCAAGTGTGACTAGGTGCATACATAATTGCCAACATCAACGCAAAGTTTTCTTGAACGATGGATTGAAGAAATAAAGGTAGAGTGGGGATTAGTTACAAAATTGGCCCCTAGGTTTTATGAAGCAGTGCCAATTTCTTGAGAATCAGTCATGCTTAACAACTTCCTCAATAATTTGCAAACTTTCTCGCTTTTCTAACTTTCTCAGGAGTTCGAGGTATCTCTTGTTATAGATCTTTACCTGCTTTGGTCATTTCTTTAGATTTTTTGGAGAAAATCACAGACTTGTCTTCGAAAGGAAAATTGTTCTTATTTCACACCCGTGAAAAAATGTGTGGAATGTTGCCTTCAGTGCACGCTGCAAGCTTTTGTCTTCAACTGTTTATTGTGCCAGAGAGGAGGAAGCAAGGTCATTTGTTCAAGAAAAGTTGATTGAGTACTACCTTTCTTATCCTTGACTCGAAGGGACAAGTCTCCTATTCTTTTGATTCTTGGCCTTATTTTGTTATAATTCAATTATCACTATTAATAAAATGAATTGGCTGAACTTAAATTTTCTAGAAATATTTTGAAAATAATGCTTAGTGGGACATTTCATTTAATTTTAATTAAACATGAAGTGAAAATAAATAAATAAATAAAACCGTTGTACGTTCTTGAGTTTTCCTACCGTTTATGTCCTTTCGTCTTGATCCCATTGTGAGGTCAGTTTTTACTTCCTCCACTTAGAGAGTAGAGAGAAAGTTATGTAATGCTGTGGGGGGGGGAGTGAACTTTCGGCAGAAAAACTCTTGTTCCCAGACCCTGGTAACAAAAAAGTGAATTAATCCAGTTGCTAAATTTAGAAGAAGAAAATTCCTCAAACATGTGATGTAGCCAGAATTCATGTTATGTGGGTCCTTGATACCAAAAAATCAATTTACAACTAAAATCTGTCCATATGTCTGTAAACATTGCTAATGGCTAAACCGTTCAGCCAATTTTCTCCAAAATTAATATTCCCCAATTGATCTGGCTGTTGTTGTGGCCCCTTAAATTTGAAACCAATATTTTAATTTTGGGGATACTTTACATGTCGTTCCTGGGACATTTAAAAAAGAAATTAAAAAATGCAGGACTTGTGCTTGTTGAAACCCTGATTATTTGAAAATTTTAAAGTTCAAAAAATGTTTGGCGTATTCCTACAGCTAAAATATTAAAGTGGTGTGTGTGTGTGGGTTTTATATATATATATATATATATATATATATAGATAGATAGATAGATAGATATAGATATAGATATAGATATAGATATAGATATTTGTATATGAAATTATTTATTTGGGATAGTAATATTAGAATATTTGAAGGAATAATGCAAGAGGTTAATGCATTTAATCAATTTGGTATATTATTGACTAACTTATTGTTCTTTGCCACTGCTGTTATCATTATCAGTGTTTTCCTTTTCTACATTAGTGTTTGTCACTGATGACAAATCTCTGTTAGCAGATGACTGAATATTTAGGCAACTTCTCTGAACATTCCTTTGTGATTAAAATGTGCATCTCCTTTAAACTTCTTTGCTCTAACTACATCCTCTTTCCTCTCTTTCTTTAGGTGACATCTCATCCACTCTGCACTTTCTACATCTAATGTAGAATTCATATCTTAGCTCTTACTTTCTCCTGTGCTTGCTCAGATTCACAACACAAAGGACATATATGCCACAAGAACAGGTTACACTCTTATCACTAATCTTCCAGAACAAAAATACTGGAAATAATCACAGAGAAAACTTATATTAAATGACTATGATTCTTTTACCAAAAAAAGATTCGGGACATTTTTTGTAAAAAACCCGTCAATAATGATGATAACATTATTTTCTTCTTAATGCAATGTGTTCATCAGAATCAGATCTTCAAATAACATCATGTTAATTTTTCAAACATATTTTGGAAAATTTTGTGTCAAAAATTGACAATTTTTATCATCTTTAAACCTTTTTTTTTTTTAAACTGCACAATTTTTTTATTAAATTTGAATTTTATATATGGTGAAGAGCACTTAAGAGAATGCGCAGGTCTCACATTCATTGAAATGCCCAAATTTTCAAAAATTAAAAACTTTTGAGTAATTTCCTACAACTAAAATTATTTTTTTCTTCATGAAATAAGTTCATCAAAAAGAGATCTCCAAATAAGGTCATGTTGAATTTTTTGAAAATTTGGCAATCACTTTTTTTGAGTAATTTGGTGTTGCCTGCTCCGAATATCCTGCACTTCGTGAATTTTTTTTGAAAGTGCTTGGAGGCAATTTAATACTATGCAAGTTATAATTTGTATAGTATTTCACATTTTGCATTACTAGTTAATCTAGACTGTGCTACAGATTAGCACAGACTTTCTCATACTAGTTAGTTTACCAATCTCTTTATTCTGAGCTTGCTTTTCGATTTTGCCTCCCCCTTTCCAGCTGCTACCTGCTGTTGCCTAAAAGTTATTTTTTCACATATTTTCAATTTTTTCAGACCCCCAAAGATAGAACTGAAATGTAATGTAAAGAATATAGAAGAATAAAATCTGCTTCAAAATTCAAATTTCGAGAAAAATTTGGAGCCATTTTTGAGAAAATGCCATTTAAGTGTTTCTTGAAATGCACAATTTTGAGCTCATTTTCACAGAAAATTTTTGAGATTTCAAAAAACATAACAGGAAATCATGTGAAGCACTTTTACTGACTAATACAATAATTTTTAAAAAATATCCTTACTGTAAATATTAAGGATACGAGATATATTTAAAAAAAATTACATTTGTGTAATTTGGAAAATTTCAAAAGAATAAATCTAGATGGTGTTAATGGCATGTATACAATGCATTTAGCTCTATACATTCCAATATTTTTTATTTCTTTTTTAAATTTTGATTACGTTTGTGAAATTGTGAAAATGTCTTTGAAGTGTTTCTGAAAATGCAAATTTTAAGCTAATTCTCACAGAAAAATTTGGAATTTTCTACTCATTGTAGTGATAGAATTTTACAAAACAATTATAGACAATCATAAAAAATATTCTCAGTAAATGAGAAATTTACTTTTCTTGAATGAAGATGTGATATTCTCTTATTCCAAGGTTATTTTATTTATTGGAAATACTATGTTTAATACATGTAATTTAGCACTTGATTATGTTTCAAGAAGATTTAAATGTCTCTGGGGAGCATCTAGAATAATTGAGAAAACAAAATCTGTAGTCTGCCTTGCTGTTGCAAAATCAAAATGCAAAACACTTGAACAAAACAAGTAACTAAAATACATACAAAAACTATCAACAATGCAAACTGCATTTCTCATCAAAGAGAAAGAGAGAAATTATACACAATATAAAGAGAGAAAAATGTGCTGAAGCTCAAAAAAAGAGCTAAAAGGTTGCAAAATGTAACCTCATGAAAAGGTGAAGCTAATTGTGTTTATTTCCTTTCATTTCATCTCCCAAATACATAAATTAAACTCTTTGTATGAAAACAGTTATATTTTTGAAAAGGTGACAGTTATATATACAAACTCCCTGTCTGAGTATTTGTACAAGAGATACTACTACAAGAGATACATTTTTCCTTTAGAACATAGTTTGATCAAACTGATATGATATTTTTCTGAGAAAGTTCATTTCAGTTTTTCATATAAATTAATGAAAATAAATTGATATTCAATATAAAATTTCATGATGATTTGTTTAACACTTTTCTCCTTCTTTCTTACAGAATTCAGGATATGCTTCAAATGAAATTCCAGATGATAAGACATTAATTGGATTTGCTCAAATTTCTGTAACAGACTAATGTGTTACTACTAAATAAGGTTTGTGCTGACATACTGTAGAAATTATTTCAATATTATTTGTATGAACGGCCATTTTGTATAGTTTTATCAGTTTAGTGAACTTGGTGCCATCTTGACACGTACAAGTAAAACTGTGAGATATGTAAATCAGTGAATGACATTTTGTCCACAGAATTTCATTTATTGTAATAAGTATCACTGCTGATTCATATTTCACACTTTATTGTGAATGGTGAACATGTAAAGTTGGATTTTCTCTTGATATGTCAAGAACATATGCACAGGAATCTGTGAATAAGTGTTGTGAACTTGGAGTATTCTAAATGCATTGATTACTACATTTTGATTGCTGTTTTTTCTGTAAGCTAATTATATGGGAAGATGTGACTGTTGTGACTGGTCCTTCAATCAACGATGGAGTGCCTTTATATAAAACTTTTCATGAAAGATGCTGGGAGTATTTTAATTGTATGTTTTTATTATGAATTTCAATCATCTGTATCCATGAATCCAGAAATCCAAAATCCATTTATTTCTTTATGATTGTAGCAGAAATTTGTTTTCATTCTAGGTTTGCAGATATTCACACATTTGTTTTTTCTCATTATCACTGGCAATATGTTATTTCTATAATGACAGCATCTTCTTAATGGTATTCATCCGGGAATGTACGACTCCATCTCATTCAAAAGAGTAGCCAGTATTGCACGGTTGTTCACATAGGATGCTATACTAAAATAGTGTGAAGATATCTGGATGCTATGAAATTCTGTATCTTTTGGTGCTTGGTGTTTGAATGTTTCTTTCTGCTCGTCAAAAACTGGGAGTGTTCTAACATACTTGTATTAAAAGTCAATTGCTGTTTAGAAGTGAAGTAATGTAAAACACGTTAAATTATTATATTGTAATAATTAATGTAATTAATATTTTAGAATTTTTCTGTTATTTAACTTTGCTTTAGATTTGCGTGGATCTTACTGTTATTTTATATTCATTCTGCATATTGTAAATTTCAAAATGTTGCTTATTGTCATCATTGTATTTATGTTATTTTCTCTATATTTCTTGGGTTGTATGAATTTGGTCATTGGTGAACATTAATTTGAAAATACTGTAGGTTGTAATTATAAACTGCAAGGTTTAAGTTACCGTTTTGTAGTCATTTCAAAGATGATCTTATATCATTGCCTGTGGTTTTTTATGTTTTGTTTTGTTGTGTATCATTTCCAATTGTGAAACTGTGGGAATTACATTGTTTTTGGCATGTTATCCTTGTTCTTTCTTAATTAATTTTGCTTTTCATGGCCTTTATTTTTACCATATGTACTGTCTTCCTCTATTATTGCATTTCCTTGAAACTTGTGAGGGTTAGTTAGCCACGACAGAAATTAACATTTACTCATCTCTGTAAATCTGATGATTTTACATATTTCTTGTTGTGAAGAGCATATTGTAAGTGCACTACTACTTTGAGAGTAAAGCATTAATTCTCCTACTTTTTAAAAGGTGATGAATGGGAAAGAAATATTTCCAGTAGTTTCAAATATTGTAAGCCAATGCTTTAATCATTGTATTGTGAGTATTGTGTGTAGTCCATGTTTCTGTATATTTTATTGTTTTGCTTTTGGAAGTAGTAGTGGTAGGCCTTGTAATAATTGTTGACTAACCCTCTGAAATGCCATTGGCAATGTGTGATATGCAAGACTTAATGTTTGAGTGTTCATTAAATAATTTTAAATTGTGTCATTGAATTCTGTTGAAGTTATGAAGTTGTACAATACTGTTGTATGAAATGTACTTGTGCCTACATAGAATGCACAAAAATCTTAAAAGATCTCAGAACAGATGAGGTCTTAAATTAACAATATGTATTTTGTTTTTGCAGTAATGGTGTTCAGGGAGACCAGTACATTGATAAAATCGTGATATTCTGATCTCTCTGTTCACGATGCAAATAATTGATGTTTTCATTGGGATGTGTAGTCTTAAATCTGAGATATCTTTTTACATCATTGTTTTGAATCTCTCTCAAGTTCAGTCTCATAGTTTCCAAACTTCTTTTTTCTTTTCTAAAATTAATACATTCATTTTATTGTACCACACACATGCCAATGAGAACCTGATTGTTCCTACAAATTTCAAGACTCTCTGCCATATAAGGGAACATATATTCAGAGTGTGAAATGTTACACATTTGTATATAGATTAGGAACATCGTTATTACACATTTGAATAAGTAACATTGTGGTTACACAACTATAAAATTGCTATGTCTTTCAATAGCAGCCTTTTCATAGATTGTGGGTCTTCACTGTAGGAATGGCTGGCTGGTTAAGATCTTGCATTCTCTATTTCCACAGGTGTCGATAGAAGTATTTCTACTATTGGTATCTAAAGTAGCATCTTTTATAAAAAGTATTTATGGCAAGTCCATCTCTCCATTCAAATTCATTTATATGGAGCGAGTTAAAATTATATAAGGTTATTCAAAAATGTGTGATACAAATATGCCAAGTACTTACTTTGTTTTGTAAACTGTTTTAAGGTACCTCAGCAAAATATATTCATCATTTTGTTAATATTTCTGAGACTACTTCTTTAGCATGTATATTAAACCATGTCTAATATTTAAGATTGACTTGTGAAGGAGAATTAATGTGTCAGAGGCATCTAAGTAGTATAATCACGTAACTTCTGTTTAGGATTAACATGTTTTCTGGTATAAAGTTAGAACATAATAGCATACCATTTACTATGAAAAATAGTTTGTGCTTCAGTATGAGCAAATGATTGGTACAAGTGATGCCTCTAGCAGTTTCTGTCTATAGGTACATTTGCAAGGCAAACTTTCATTTAACAAGACAAGTAGTTGTCTGTTTAGTTTCATTAAAAAGTCCTTAATTATCAAATCAAGTGTTTGCTCTCAAGGAACCAATTTCCTGAAATGAATTTGGAGGTGTGATTTTCACAATTCAGGAATTTGCTGTCTTCAAATATTTTCACAAATTCTTTGCATTGGTTGGTGTGCATTTCTGTATTTTTGAGACTGATAAGCAGTAGTTTACAGGACTGTGGATCTGTAATACGTATATGCATAGTAGGTAGGGAATTGGCGTGCCTTACTAACTTCAGCTTCTTTTACACACAAATATCCTTTGTTGTAAGATATTTCACTAGATATACTGAAAATATCAGTAATAAAAGTTATCATTACTTTGATTCTACTGCACCAAAGTATTTTAAAGACAATACCACACAACTGCACAAAGCTTCATTGCAGTTGTCACTTCAATTGGGTTACCGATAGTTCAGTACAAAAGTGTTGATTTGTATTCATCTATAATTTATTGCTGTAAAAATGTGAACATATTGTATAGATTACTTTAAAATATATTTCTCCAATTTAAGTGTTTTATTTACTAATTTACAAGCATCAGATTCACAGACAATGTATTCATACAACCAAGAACATTTGCCTACTACTTATCCTGGATGAATAAAAAGGTACTTCAGTTATTAATGCTCAAATATACTTATAAAATGCAAAAATTAAATGTACAGATTCAATGTAGGTAATTAATTGTTTATTACGTTTTGAAATATCTCGATTCACTTCCATGCTGCAACTACCAAGGGAAATAACTTGCACATGGCACGATGTCGCTCACGTGTTTTTTTTCTGTCGGCGATTTGATTTGTAATGTTGGCTTCACTGCGTACACCTGCCGATCACTACTGACGACTGAAGAGAGTTACGCGCAGTGTGCTGCTGAAAGCGAGACAGGGAGTAGAGTCGTCGGGTCGCACCAGCAAGCCGGTGAGCGTGGTGTGTGAATTTAACATAACGGCGAGTCTACGGGTAGTGCAAGAAAACAAACCTTACAATGATCCGTTCGTGACGCGCAACTTAATAAAATTTCGTTCCTCGGAACCGCGTAATTTGATTGTAGATCTGGCGAGAACATTTCCACGTACTTTTTATAGTCCACTACTCTGTGGGGTTAAATAACAGGTATGTTTCTCTATGTTGTTTATTAATACATTTTCTTTTTAATTAATGGATATGCAGCATTTGTGCAGTAAGAATGAAATGACTGTGATATTGATCTTTGCCCGCTCTGAAGTGTGAATGGATGTCTCTTTTTGAATATTTGTCTTATTCTGATTTATCGAGTAAGGTAAATAAATATGCCTTCAACTGATTGAACTGTTGTGATCTAGCGTAATGAATTTAACCTTGCTTGTTGCTTTGAAACTCAGTCAAGGACGAGAAACAAACAAACGATTTCTTCTTCCGTTTATTACGTAATCTTTATGATTTTGCACGATGTCTGAAGATAGTCTGACCCGCCGTCTTTCACAAAACCTTCGCGTTAGTATATGTAGGGTAGATGCGTGGATTCGCATATGCCTGTCGATTTGCGAAGTGTCATGAAAGCGCGCGGCCCTTAAACGCTGCGGTTGTGATTTCGAGATTTTTTTCTTTCGATGTAAACAAATAGTGAGAATTACTCTATGAAGCTTAACCTTAATTTCTTTAAATGCACTGAAAAAACGGGAAAAGTCAGGGAAATTTGTTTCAGGAAATGAGTGTTCTCGTTTAGCATACTAGATGAGATCTTCGACTTTCACTCGCAACCAATCTTTACAAATGTCTAAAGAAAGAATTTCACGGGGTCTTGACAACTTACACTTTAAAAGAACTTTAAACTTTTCAACTTTAAAAAGAGCAAGATTTGTCCCCCCCCCCAAAAAAAAGCATTTAAAATGCATTCAAATGCAACCCGCAACACTGGCAACTTTTTTTAAATCTATGTAACTTCAAAACGAAGCGTTATAATATATAAGCAAATATTGTGTAATTCAAATTGTAATTTAATCGTGTGAGTTTGTAAGAGCAATAATGTTTATAGTTTATTCTGATACTAAACTGTTTAGTCAGATTTTAACGAATAACGTAATTAAATATTGTACCTATACTATACTGTACCAGAGCAAACATTTCCTATCAAAACTTAAAATACAGTTTTACTTTCTCGCACTTCGAAGAGAAAGACGACCACCGCAGGCTACTTTACATGAAGCTTAAAGAACATGTATCTCAAAAATGGCACCGATTATTATTATTATTATTATTATTATTATTATTATTATTATTATTATTATACGCTTAAGAGTATGATACAGGTCTTACGTTTGTTGAAATACCAGGTATTTTCGAAAATTGCAAAGTACAATGAAGACAGATTTTCTTCCTTAATGAAATCTGATCCTTAAAGACAAATTTTGAAATAAACGTAAACGTACGTTTTGTCGAAAATGAGAGTAGTTTTCGCGTAATTTCGCGCGAAATAGAGGCAATTTTTAAATCTTTTTAAACAAATGTTTCTCTAAAACGGCACCATTTTTGAGAAAATGTTTGAAAATGTTGAGGCTTCATATAACGTACCCCCCCCCCAATCAAAAATACCGTTGAAACTAAGACGGATAGAGTTCATTTAAATCTATCCGGGGAAATATTAAAATTTTTTGAGAAAATCGCTGAAACGGTTTTGGCGCCAGCGTTACCACAGGCAGAATAGACAGACTTTCCACTTCAGTCCGAATTTTTTTTTTTTTTTTTTTTTTTTTTTTTTTTTTTGTTAATTTCAGGGACCTACCAGACACGGATTCTACAAAACATGTTAGAGGAAGTAATTTACTGTATACGGGATTTAGCGACATTTTCGTTACCATGGCCCAGCAATAAGAATTTTTCTGCCGAAAATTCGCCGTTTTGCAGAGCACGATTACATTACGTTCTCCCTTTACGAAGTAAGACTGAAGTAAAACAACGTTAAAACTGTATGTAATACTTTTGATAAAAATACAGTCCTTGATCCGAACAGAACCTTATGCTTTTTGCTAGATGCCGCGTTCAACCACTGTGATGTCACGAGTGCTAAATAACTACCACGCGTAGTAATACACTACAAATGTTTCTACAATCGTAATTCACACAGGCATCTTCGTTCAGAGCAATCTACGAGTATTAACCTGAGCTGAAATATGGCCTAATCAGATTAATGCTCATTTTCCATGTTCCTGCGATGTGAAACCTCGCAGTCGCCCAGGCGCCAGCAGATCGTCATTAACTGTTACCTATCTACCTGAGCGGTCCCTAATGTCTTCTCGAGCATTATTTTGAAGAAAAAAGGAAGTTGGAAGTTAAGTTACTGTAGTTTTCGAAGCCAGTTCAAGTATTATGTTGCGTTTGACAACCGCGAGTCGTGGTCTCTACAGAATTGGACTACGCAAAGCAGTTTCTTATTATAGAAGAAACCCCTTTTTGCATTGGAGAAAAAGATAAAATATTCAATATCAAGCTACATGTTCTAAAACAGCAAGTACTTTCTAGCCATTTGTAATGGCTATGTTCCACTCTTTATACCACAATTTCTCCGAAAAATATATAATAGTAATTATTAAACACTGTGGTATTGTAATATTCTACCGAATATACAAAAGCAGCCGTCATCGTGTTATCTGTGCAGCGTTACACCAATAGGTAACAACAACCGACAATGACTACTCATCTATTCGTTTTCACATTTAGTACAATTGAAGGGCGCAATTTAAAATGAAATAATAAACAAATTATAACTTACGTAGCATCCAACTGCGTAAATTGGGAGCCGGCAACTGAAGGCTAGCAATCTTTATTTTATTTATTACAAATAGGTTTTATATAATTTCTAAAAGATCAATTTGTAAACGTATAACAATAGTTCCAATGTAAGAAACGAACAAAGAAATTTGAAATACTATACACATTTTAACGTACGTACCAGCTAATTTGCTCAAAACGCCTAAAATTATGATCAAGAAGCGTAATATTTTCAGAGCGGGCGACTAACTATTACGCCCAAATACTCATAGTTTCGAAAAATTCAACATGACCGTATTTGAAAATCTGTTTTCGATGAACACATTTCATTAAGACAAAAATTGTATTTTCACAATTGTAGTTGAAGACGTGGAAAAAATTTTTGATTTTTTTAAATTGTCGAAAATTAGGGTTTTCAACCAACATGACACCTACATCATTTTTTTAAACGTCCTCCAGACTACCCGCCAACAAAATTTCGTCAAAAATGAAGCCAACAAATTAATAAAGAGTGAAAAATAAAGTTAATTGGTGCACAAAGGGTGCGCTTCAATGGATTTACAACTGTCTACGATTTAGTATAATTATATGTACTATAGTATACACTATATAGCGTAGTGTGAGCAACCGACAGCAGCAGGGAGTTTCAGCCGAGTAGACATCCTTAAATTCTATTGATCAATTTGACTAACGTCGTTATACTTTCGTAAGAATAAGCCACAGATTCATAGGGAACAACGTTCAGAAGCAAGGTTTAGATGAGCTATGATGAACGAAAGCAGCATTTGAAGCGTTAAATAAAGAAGTTGCCTAGTATATCAGAGGTTGCAGGTAATTGACGTGGTACTTCAACCACGATAATGAGTCAAGAGTAAACAAATCTTCATTACACAAGCAGTTTTAGATTTTCTGGCCCTGCGCAGTAAGTGTATAGTTTGAGATTTTGAATCGGCTTTTCGTGTTTGTTAGTGCGTAAGACAACCTAATACGAAGATATGATTAAAACTTCTTTTCCGCGAATTTCTTACCCACCGTCTTCCCAAAGTTTTCCGTTGATTTTTGCCAGAGTTGTGGAGTTGGCAAAGATTAATTGTACATTGTAGTGTACGTTCTAGAGTACGGTATTTTCACTATCCGTGTAGTTCCAACCAGTGACTCACGGTACACTAGTAGGCTAGCGAGCTGCAAACAATCGGAAGTGGGAATGTCATCCCAAAAATACGTATTTATACTTATACAAGCAAAACATATGTTTATTATGTTAGAATTAGACGACTTATGATACCCTCAACAAATATTATTCTCTTGCGTAATATTGTTTTAATTTTTTGAAGTATCTGCTGAAGTTGTTTCTGCGAATATCACTGGAGTAAAAAATAATTTTCTAGACAATTAAATGATAGAGGTAATTACCAAATCATTCAGAGCAATGTCGGTAAAATAAATGCAATAGCGGTGTGCCAACACATAATTTCATTTTTAAAGCGGACAACTTTCATCCCCAAAAAATATTCCGTGGAACAGTGTTGTGCGTAATAGGCATAAGCGCAATGATTATGCCTATCCGGAAATGTCGCAACGCCGAACTTCGACTAGTAAAGAGTGTTGACATATTTGAAAAAAGTGACCGATACTAATGTAATCACTTTCCACGTTAGGTGCGAGAATTTAATGATTTTTTTTTCAATTTTCTGGAAATAAACTAGTTTTTTGGGGGGCTTATGCCAATTTGTTACAATTAACAGCATGCCGCTTATTTTTTAAAAAAATTGCAGCTCGTTCCTTACAAATGTATTTCATTACATTCAATATTTCAAAGTGCCAATTTTGCACGCGTTGCTTATCCTAGATCAATAACTAAATTAGTCAAAACTATATTTTGACGGCATTTATCTTTGCACTTCTTGGCGAGCACAAAATTGCTGGGAGTGAGATCTCACGGCAACCTAGGGAAATTTACTTATGGATGCGCCTCGTACAAAATGTACGAAACGCTCGAAATAGCAAAAACATTGGTTTATTATTTAAATTAATCGTTAATAAATTTCGTTTTGAACGTTATTTCTGTGTTAAAATTAATTCTCCTCTTTAAAATCTTCGTGCTAATCGACCAAGAACACCCCAAGTTTCAACTCTTTCTCCTTTACTTTCTACATTTTTATCTGTGATATTCTACCTTTACTTCTTGTGACTTCAGGTCTTTATATAGATGACATTGCTTTATTCACATCTCACTCAAATATAAAAATTGTTCTTCACATTGTACTCGACGCCATTCAAAAATATCTTCATTGTACCCATTTTTGAAGAATTAGTATTCCTAGTAAAGCAAACATGTTTACTTCTACTTATTGGTACTCGTATTT